TATTCCCAATAGGTATACACTGTCTTCACGGTATTACGGTACTAATATTCTTTGACAAAATTCAACACTAAAACAAAACTCTATCAGAATTTATAGTATTTTGTTTGGAACATGTAGTTGCTGTGAATGTCCTTGTCTATAGATTGAAATCGTTGGTCTTAACTGAAAATTGTGGAACACGATTTAAAAATTTAAAAAAAAATGTTTTTCTCAATTCTACAATTTTGAGTTAGAACAGTATTTTGGTTTCACGTGCGAATCAACAGCACGTCAATCCATACAATTATATGTATATTCGAATATCACCTCCAGTGCAACGGACGAAGATCCTTTTTTGTGTTTGATGTGCTGCCGGGGCGTCAATACTAGCAGTCTTTGGTATTTTACATGTAAAAATTATAATACTGACCTCAAAACTTCATTTTGTAGAATTTTCTTTTTAATTTCGGCGTCGATTAACTTGCATTCGTTGAGCCAGTTGCGAACTTCATTGAAATCCGCTAAAAGTTGTAGAGCGGCGTCTTTGCTGAAATTTATGTAAATATATCGAAGGCTACGAGGTGAAACCATAGATATAATGACATCCATAGCAAAAACTCAAAGTGTGTTAATCTCAATAATTTTCGTTTTTTTGTTTACGTTACCAAGTGACGGGACGAACAAGTCGTGTGGCTGGTGGTAAGCGACACGCCTGTTCGTAACAGTTGCAGTGCAACTCAGAGCTTTAAATCACAAAGATCTGAGGGGTACTGCCACTGCACCTTGAGACATAAGTTAACAAGACTTATGTGCCTGTAATTTCACCAGCACCCATACGTGCCCTTAAAAAAAAACGAGATACAGTAATGCCCACATTACCACTTGGCGGTAGAAGTAGGTAAAATGGCAGAACATTCCTGGAGAAATTCTTTCACAAGGAGCTTCATTGCTATTCAGGTACAGCACGACCCTATCACCGTTAGTCCCTTACCTAAACTTAACCTTAGTGATGTAAATATGATGCAGCCAGGACTCGCACATGATTCTCAACACCATGTTCAGTGTTGTGATGTCGTTGGTCGCTTTGACAACAGGCAGTAGAACTTTATCTGAAATTATTTATTTATTTATATATATACAACCAACAGCATAGTATAATAAGATATGGTAACTCCATACAAACGTAGCAGCGCGGCTTGTATGTGGGCGCGCTTCCCGCGTGCCGTGTATGGACGCACACATACGCATAATCACGCGATGCACTCGCGTAGCATAAGCTGCTCTCCTATTGGTGTCCTTATCTACCGACCCGTGAGATAGGGTTTTCTGGAGATACTACGGGCTCGACGGCAAGGCCAGGATACAGCGGGCGTTCAGGCCAAGTCCTCCGCCAGTGATACGCCTTCGCGGGCATCTCTGGTTGACCCGGACTTGGGTATGGACTCGTTGGGGTTTGTGGTGACCTGCAGAGACGGGACATGTTTGTCTGCCCCGGTTGCATGTGACCGGGGCGTCTGTCTCATGTCATGCGCAGCTAGTAGCGTCTTAGTAGCGGTCTATTTGAGGGCCTGAAGCGAGGACACGCGTGGGGCACGTGAATTGCCCTTTAAGTTGGAAAGTATGTCCGGACACTGTCGAAGGAAACTGCGATTGGCATCTCCGGTACTAACCCGGACAGCTAGTAGAGGATAAGCTAGACATCCTCTGGTCCCTTCAGCCGCTATTGGGAACTGGAGAGACGTCGTTTTTTGCCGTCGGGTAGTGAGCGTGCCTTACAGCTCCGGTGCCTATTTGGGGAATAGGGAGTGTACTGTACGCGCACCCGGGGCGGCTAACCCGAGGCACTAGCCGCTCGAGAACTGGATGCAGTCAAGAGATAGAGGTCTGTGACAACCCAGTACATTGACTGATCTGGGGTCAGAACCTGAACTTGTAAGGTTCCTGTGCGCGCAGGTCATAGTGCCCTTCCCGCATAACCAAGCGGTTGGATACTATAAACAAAACTTATGTAGAAAGATATGGCACTACTTTCATATTGGTCTGCGGCACTCGCAATCGCCGCCGTCTCACAGTGGAATGAATTTGCGGGCGCGCGAATTTAAATGTGGTTCGCCATCGAAAACCGTGAAAGAGAATATCTCGGTGAGAACTGCCAAAATGCGAATTAATAACTCGCTTTTGAACGAAACGTGCTAATGAAAGCGACAAACACTCGCGCTCTCACCGAATGACATTGCTCCCTTCGACAAAGGCTGTATGTCGCACATTGATACCTTCTCGAGGCTCTCGTTTTATTTTGACAAAAAGTAACTCACAAAATTTGGTATTTTTGGTATTTTTTGTTATAGTTAGGTATAATTAACTCAGTATAAATAATTAGGTATTCGATTGAACCTTTTTTCGTATGATCCAGCACACCTCCCTCTAAAATCCTAGAATTATTATATTGTTTATTGTTGCATATATAGGATGTATAAATACATGATTTACAGAATTTTGTTTCTCCGAAAAGCTTTACATTTTTATTGAATACATTATGTTTCATTTGTGCGAAAACACGTTACGGTCTTTTTCATTACACCATTTAATGTTTCACTATTTTGGCATATTGACAAGTTATTCTTGTCCCGATTTTTATTTCCCCAACAAACCGACTCTTGACCAATGTATCTAATTGAATATTTTTATTTTGTAAAAAAGCGAAATCCATGACACATTTTTGTTATATTATTTCTTATTACAGATATCAAAAGTATCAGAACGTGTCGCACAATACAACTCGTCAGATTATAGCACCTCGCATCTTTAAAAAATACGGTAAAAGTGATGCAAGTTAATTTGGTCGAGTTGTAGTTTTTTCATATACTAATCTAACCTAAACCCACAAGAGGGGGTCGACCTAGCTAGAAATGCAAACAAAATGTATTTATTGAATACTCAAAACTATTGTTTTTAAATTACATTTTAGATGACAGCAAAAACATAGCACAATGGTAGCAAAGTACAGCCCAGAATTGTGGAGCTGTACGGTAAAATTGTATGGCGGTACCTACAATTTTATGTAAGAATAATAATTTTGTCGAAACGAATTTTCAGCAATCGAAATTATATGGAAAACAGACAGTATAACAAACATGATTAGACCAAACAAACTTCTGTCCAAAGAATACGTATGTGTAATAATTATTCTAATAATAGGTTTTCGGACAAACGATACTTCTGCTGTAAGACATTTCTGTATTGCAAATTTATACTAAAACTGTCGTCGCACTAATGAAAAAAATTCGAACCGTTTTCGAAGTAATGAAATTCGGAAAAAAGAACTTCGAGTTTGTGATAGGTTACCTTAATTTCATAAGGTAGGTATGTATTTAGAAAGGGGGTTATCCGTGACTTAGAAGAATAATTTTATAAAATTGTAAATAAAAATATAACTCCGAAACAGAAACGTTGATTTATTTGAAAAAACAAATACTTTGGATTATGGTTCCGAAAATTTAGGTCTTATTCTTCAATGTAGCAAAAACCTAAGAACTCGTTAAAAATATAACTGTTTCGTTTTATTTTTTGCTTGTTACTTTTAACAATTGAGGGATTTGTATCATTGATGGAGGTTATCGACTCTATGTGAATAACTAAATAAAGTAAAATAAACATTGGGTAAATAAACCCTTTTTATGTTCATCATCATTCAGCTTGCACGCATCCACTGCTGGACATAAGCCTCCCTTTGAGCCACTGCCGGCCATCATTCTCAGGTCGTCCGTCCATCTTGTCTCTCTTATGTTACTTACTGCTAATATTAAACTGCTGAGATTTACTTACTCAAAAACTCATACACATAGGAAGAGAAGGACAACGAAGGTGGTCTGGTAACACGCCGCCATTCAGCATTAGTCGGGAATATCATAGTGAGATGTGCGAGACTCATCGTACCACAAACTGAGGACAGCACGAATACTATTTCTTCACTCGCCTCCTGTAATTTTACATTCATTCAATTATGGACCTTTGGAATTGGACCGAACATACTTTTTTAAAGCAAATGTATTTGCTTTTGATTACTATAAGACCTGGAGCAAAGACGCGATGGAATGAGCTCGCCCATTTATGATACCTATTCAGTCGCACCTTAAAAATATTTGGATTGCACAATTGACTCACAAATAAATGGACGACGGGTCTAATACAAAAACCACGAAAGAAATGTCCCAAGTCAACCCATTTAAACGTATTGACATGTAAAGGAATATGAAAAAGCTAAAACGTTGAATTTAAATTGTAATGTCATCGCAGTACTGTTTAATTTTGCTTGCTTCGCTGTCAGTCGAACAAACGAAGACTAGAGCGTGAATGACGCTCTGTATACGATTTTAACGCCCTATAAGTTCGGACACTTTTTAGCGCGGACCCGACGTCCATATAATTGTAAGTCAATGGATTGCACAAAGTTTATTAATTACCTGATCTGAAACTAGGGAATTTCTAGGAATTAAAATTACTAACTTACAACGAAAGGATATTACGTGTGAATTTCCTATAGTAGTTGAACAAAACTTGCGTTGTTTTAAACCATACAAATTTTTGACGAGGTAGGTTATTAGACTAACCCTATACAGCAGTTATAACAGAAGTAAAAAGTTACACAATTACAACATACATATATTTATAAACCCAACATCATACAAGCAGTCTAAAATACTTACTTTTAGCTTTTGAATGTTGACTTTAACCTCTGACACTAGCTTTTCCCTCATTTTTGCACACACGTTTTCGTGTACTCCAATTTTACCTGCGAAGCATTGATGTAATTAGAAGCCACGAAGTACAGTTATAAAAAACATTAATATGTCATCTTATAAGACTATAATTAACCGACTTCAAAAACTCTGATAAATTTGCGAATCGATTTTGATAATTCTTTTTTATTGGAAAGAGGGTACCATAGTAGTGGTCTCATTTAAAATTAATGAAAATATTCCACCTCTAAGGGTGGCAAACTAGGGGGTGATAAAATAATAAAAAAATTGCCAAACTTAGGTGGAATATTTTCTTCAAATTTGAATGGCTACTGAGGTAGGTACTTCTTTTCCAATAAAAAAAAATATCGAAGTCGGTTTACAAATGTCAGAGCAAATACAAAAAAGTACAGTCGATTTGGGAACTACTCCTTTTTTAAGTCTTTAAAAATGGAATTGAGTACTAAAAAAAAGTTTAACACTGAAGTTATTATACCCGATTCTATAGTAGCAGTGTGATCAGCGAATCTCAAATTGAGTAACTGCTCCATGCACGCCTGCATGTCATTGTGTGCTACTCTGAAGAAGTCATCCATGTTCCACATGTTAGCGAGGCTACGTGTCTCGGCCAAACACCACAGTCTGTATGTATGGATTGAGTGATCTGTGAATGAAAAGATACCTACTGTAGTTAAAGCAGACCTAAAGACTTCAATGCCGAGCTGTCTGAAGTCGTTACTAGCATTCGTCGATTGTGAATTCCTTTTTGTATTAAAAACCTATACCTTCACCCACAATTTCGCCTAATGGATATGAAGGTATGCGCTCGCCATAAAGGTGTCTGTTCAATCAGACCTTAAATATATCCAGGTTGTATCATTGAATAACAATTTAAAGCTCGGTGAATACAAAATTCTGTTATTATCTCTGTTGGGTATATAGTAAAAACTGGACGACAGAACCGGATACAAAATGCTCTTATCTGCCTTGGATATTAGCTACAGATGACCTTGAAGAAATTGGACGACAACGCCGGATACAAAATTCTCTTATCTGCGTTGGATTTTAGCTACAAATGACCTTGGAGAAGCTGGACGACAGCGCCAGATACAAAATTCTCTTATCTGAATCTCGAACGACAGCACAATAACTGCTTCGTTAATTGTTGGCAACTTTGGGAGTACTGTGCTAAGTACGATAGTTATCTAAGGAGAGAGTTTATGTAGTTCCCCACCACTTGTCTAAGCCGAGCTGACAACTTTTCGTTTTCGTTACTTTTCGTTTTCGTTACTTTTCGTTCAACACATTCTTCACCATGCCCCAGTTACTCGCGATGATATATCTTATCGCTAAAGCCAGGGATAATTATTAATTTAATCTGTAAACGATTCGACATCATTCGAAAGTAAGCCGACTGTTGCACCGACACTGTTTATTATTAATCATTTGTATTAAGCTAATCACTGCCATATTAGATATACAATACGTTTATAGATACGATGTCAGTTTGTACATCTTGTCTAATTGTGTCGAAACCACGTCTAAGTATGTTATAGCGGATTCGATTGAGGATGTTTTCAGAAGGTCGCCGTCTCGTTTCTGCTCCTGAGAAACCTCAGACAGCGTTAGCGTCCGGGTGCAATCAATACCTTGGAGTCGTCTAGTTCGCACGCGATCAAAATGGAATATTTGTACAGTTATGTTTTCATTAAAGTTCGGGAAATCGGGTGCAAATAATGTAATTGTAATCGATATTGGAACGCAATAGCCGATTACTTCAATGTGACGTAGGATCTTTGGACTCGTCGCGAGCGGCGCTCGGTGCCCCCTGACCATGCGCCACAGATTACTTAATAGTTACTACATAACAGATATATCACTCTCATACAAAATCGGAAATACCTAACGCTATATATAGACTACTAAATCTGACTAATGACACCAGGCGCTCCCTACGAGCTTCTCCCTACGAGAATCTTTATTTCATAGGTAAGCAAATTACTCTTGAAATCGTCGTACTGATTAAACTCTACTGCTCATTTCTAAGGCTGATTCCCCTGAGAAGAATAAGCAAGAAACTCTAGGGGTTGCTCGTTGTAAATGTTCATTTGAATACATTTATCATTACAATGTTTCATTTAAACATTTTAGTTCGAGACATTTTAGTACTTGCAGGTATGCAAGAGCTAAACGGGCCACTATCACGAATTTCTGTCGTCCAAATACGCAGAAGTAGTATTTAATAAATAACCTTTAGTACTTATAAAGTTTTTGTCTCACTACCTATAGATTTAAACCTCGTAAATAGCAAATTTTGAATATCAATCGGAATCTTATTATAGAAGCGTACACAAGTGTAATTTGAATTAATAAGAAACTCGATTAAAATATCATGTTTTGACTACTTAAATGACTAGAATATAAATATGGAAACCTTTTTTTTAAATAGTCTCGAAAATTTAGTTTTTCCCGGGTTAAATTGTAATTTGCGCCCAAGTGCGTGTTTTATTGACCTTATATTGTCCTCCGATGTGACGTCTGTCTCGACCTGTAGGTATATTATTAGAAACACTGTATAGTTACCAAGTCTATGCAATATGGGTATTTGTTCTACGATAGGCAGGTCTTCGAGCGGTGCACCCAAAATATAGTCCCATGTAACTTCGCTTTGGTTGTTCAGTGTGACCAGTTCTTGCAACATTAATGCGAAGTTTGCTCCTGATATAGTACACTGAAAACAAATATATTTACCGTAAAAAAAACCATCTACGGTACATCTTTGAAAGTGTTGTATGTTGGAAACGAAACTATTTTAACCAACTTCAAAACAAGAGGAGGTTCTTAATTCATCTGTTTGTTGTTTGTTTATTTTTGTGTGTATGTTAAAGCCTCATTATAGAGCTGTAACTGTAACGTGTCTGTCACGTTACAGTTACGAGTGGTACAGTAACGAGGTTCTAGTGTGTACGCGTAAAACAGTCTTCACTCGTTAGATTGAGCAGAATAGGAAAGCTATCTAGCTGACTAGGAAATGAAACTATTTTTCCGGGTTTAGATCGTATATTTCGCATATAATCGCAACCCAACGTATCGGGCTCTTTACAGGTCCCATGGTTACGGTTGACTGTAATAAGTCCGATATGTTGGTTTGTTTGAAAAAACATATATACGCCGTTAAAATCCGGAAAAATAGTTTCATTTCTATGTGTAACGATCGCGAAAACCTAAGAACTCGATATGTATACGAATTTTGCTAAAATGAGCTATATTACATATAATAATTTTATTATAATTAATTAGGCTTAGTATGAGGCAGTCAGCGCAAAAGTATTGTAACCCATATTATTTTTCTACAATATTGCTGTAAATAATGCTATGTACATAATTATTTCACATTTGGATGCTATTTCGATACCTCCAATGAACACTACGTCAACATAATTTTTGTACGTGTTCTATTTTTATTTTGCTTTTTATTTCTTTTTTCGAATTTTGTTTTTTCTTTTTTTTTTACAAAATTCGAGGAGCATAATGTTAATAAATAAATATGAGGGTTTGCAAAATATGAATATATACATATATATATATATATGAATATGGCCAAAAAATAAAGTTGACGTAGTGTTTGTTGGAGGATCGGTTTTCACGATTAAGAAAAAATATGTAATTTTTTATAGTAGATAATAATATAATGTGGGTTTTGCGCTGATAGCCTTAATTGTAGTGTACTTTTCTTGTACTTTTCTATGGTATGCAGGTGATCCCACGGCTGTGCGACACGGAGAGAAAATACTTTTAGTATTGTAGATAGGTTATTTTCTTCTTAGAGACATTATTTTATTATTAAAAGTCTTAGAATAATAACGCATAGAAACCTAGCCCGCACACGCTAAGTGAGGCAAGTTAGAGGGTTCCAAACGCATCCCAGGAGCGCGCGGGCTGTTAGTGCTCAAGGTCATATTGCACCGCGAACAGCTCCAAAATTTTTTGCTAAAAATGACGATATGTGCGGTAAATGGGTGTAAAAATACAACAGACAAACATAAAATAGACACTAACATCGCATTCCACAAGTAAGTAATGCGTTTCAACTCATATTTTTATGTAAATATTCACTAAAACAGAAAAATAATTTCGCGGCAACAAGATACGAAAGTGTTGCAAAGTAACGAATATTTTTTTCTCCCCATTTTACTATTCTGTATCAAAATAATTATATTACGTAAATTTTAGTGGTGCCTGTAATTTAGATTTATTTGCGCATCTTGAACTAATATTTACTTTAATAAACATTAAATGTTTTTGTTAACTCCTGTAAGTGATTGGGACACTTAATTATTTTATAATACTTTTAACGGCTCTGCGTTCATGCTTTATTGAATAATTATTTATTTTAATTTTATTTGAATTGGAGCACATATTGCAACAAATTTACAGTACTTATATATTTGTTTCTACTATAGTGTTGGCACCACCAGTACAACTTTGATAGCTTATTATATGTCTTTCTTTTCGTAACTCAAGCGAAATATTTTATATTAAAATATTTTATTTTCTTAAAAGGGGAGCATTCTTAAGCGATTTTTTAATCTATTTTAACAGTTATTTTCTTTAATGTTTGCTTATGGCATTTTCGGTTTTAGGTTTCGAATATGGTACTTATTTCTAAATCCAAGATGCGGGCGCGATTTTTCGAATAATGGCAAGTTGGGTATCGTTTTCGAGATGTTTGGGAATGTTCAATACAAATATGGCACTCATTTCTAAATCCAAGATGGCAAACACGACAGTTCAAACAAAAGCAATATTCGTAATGAGCACCCCCAAATACCTCGAAAACGATACCCAACTTGCCATTATTTGAAAAATCGTGCCCGCCATCTTGGATTTACAAATAGTGCCATATTCACATTGAGCATCCCCAAATACCTCGAAAATGATACCCACATAGCATTTTTTTGAAAAAATCGTGCCCGCCATCTTGGATTTAGAAATGAGTGC